TAAGGTTAACACCCCTCAGGAGGATGAGGAAATGAAGAGAGGATGGTAGGACCAGTTGAGGCCTTGGAAAGGGAGGCTGTTACAGCAAGGACAGCCTTGGGGTAAGGGAGGAGTCTATAATCCGTAGCAGATGGGATCATTTTGCCACTGGTAGATTCAGTGAGGACATAGGTTCTCCACAGGGCCTACAAGGTAGGCAACCCAAGGACCTTTGTGTGAGTGATACCCAGTCTTCACTGCCTTGTGTGAACTTCCCCATTCACCAAGGTGTCTTGGGGAGGACAGTAACTCAGAGACTGAAAGGAGGATTTTGAGTTCCTATTAATTGGCCAATTTTATTTTGTTTTGTTATTCCTTAGAATTAGTGGGCGGTAGGCTCACAAACAAGAATTAATCAGGCATTCAAAGAAAACCAAGACGACATTTCTCTTTATAAATTAGTGTGTTAAATCTTGGCTTTACTGAAGTGTAACTGACCGAAAATAAGTGGCATAAATTTAAATTTGTAAGTTTTTTTAAAATATTGATTTATTTTTGAGAGAGCCAGCATGAGCAGGGGAGAAGGCGGAGAGAGGGGCGACAGAGGGTCTGAAGCAGGCTCCTCACTGACAGCAGTGAGCCTGATGTGGGGCTGGAACTCAAGATCCATGAGATGACCTGAGCTGAAGTCAGATGCTCAACTGAAGGTGCCACCCAGATGCCCCTAAATTTGCAAGTTTTAAGATAAGTATACATCTCTGAAACAATCAACACCATCAAGACCATGAACAGAGCCATCATTCACGCCCCTTGGCTATCCCTGCCTTCTAGAATGCCCTTCCCTCGTCCACCTTCGGGTAACCACTGATAGGCTTTCTGTCACCATAGATTAGTTTCCATTTTCTAGAATTCTATGTAAATAGAATCATACAGTGTATTCTTTTTTATCTGGATTCTTATACTCAATTATCTTGCTTCATCCGTGTCGTTTCTTGTATCAGTAGTCCATTCATTTTTTATTGCTGAATGGTATTCTATTGTATGGGTTTGCCACAATTTGTTTCTCCATTCATCTGCTGTTGGCCATTTGGGTTGTTCCCAGTTTTTGATTCTTACAAACAAAGGTGTGTGAGGGTTCCAGTTGGTACAGCTAGAATAATTGGTACACTTTTTCACCAATACTTGATACGGTGAGTCTTTTTTCAGTTTATCCACACGTATAGGTGTGTAGTGATATGGTACTGTGTTTTTAATTTACATTTCCCCAATGACTAATGCTGTTGAGCATCTTCTCATGATCTTGGCTTCTGGGTATCTTCTTTGGTGCAATGTGTGCTCAAATCTTTTGACTAGTGGTTTTTGTTTTTATTTTTTTTGGATTACTTCTTTTAGGTTTTACATAGACTTACATTTTGGCTCTTATGTATAATAAAAAGAGAATCAGGACTGAACAAATACTGAACAATCATATGAAACAAGTTAATATAGCACAGTGGTTAAGGATTCACTGGAGACATGGAGGTGCCTGTGTGGCTCAGTCGGTTAAGTGTCTGACTTCGGGTCAAGTCCTGATCTTGAGGTTTGTGAGTTCAAGCCCCATGTCGTGCTCTGTGCTGAAGCTCAGAGCCTGAAGCCTGCTTTGGATTCCATGTCTCCCTCTCTCTCTGCCCCTCCCCCACTCATGTTCTGTCTCTTTTCATCCCTCAAAAATGAATAAATGTTAAAAAAAAAAATAAAAAGAATTCACTGGAGACAGACTAAATCTAATTAAATCTAAGTTCCAACATTTACTAGCTGTGTTGATCTTGGACAGGATCATTTGACTGCTCTGACCTTTTACTCTCACCTATAAAAATGGGTAGGAATAGCTACCATCTCACAGGATTGCTCTGAGGATTAAGCGACATATGTGGAGGAGGAGAGTGTCCTTGGCTTAAAAAGCAAATTTAAAACCGGCTCCTGTGTAATTTAATGAGCCAATTACACACTTGAATGTATTTTCCTTGGAATAGGACTGGAGAGAGATTTGAGGATGATGATGCAACCAGGCAAGTATCCCAGGGTTTGATCTTTTGAATGGAGTGGTAGGGGTCAAAGTCATTTAAAAGCAGGATGGTTGAAGTTCCAGCAGAGAAGTACAAGCAGTTCTTTGGAACAGCTGGAGAAGAGTGATAATAAGAGGCTGAGAGTAAGTACAAGCAAAGATTATAAGAGATGACTATGACTAACGCCTGAGTAAGATTAGGTAATGGGGCAAATATGTCTGAAATCCTGTACAGTGCTATGGAAAGAGATCTCGAACTAGCTCTCACTAGCTTTTCGGTGCCTATGAAATAAGGAAATCAGTCCGCATAATCTCTAGGGTTTTATTTGGGTCTAGCAGCCTGTGGAATTTCCAATCTAGGATGAGGCTGGGCATGGGAGGTAGGGGGAGATTGTGATCTCTGAAAATTCTAGATGGTTGAAATAAAAAATCAATCTAAAAGTTATCAGAATATAACTGGTTCCTTCTAGAGCCACTTGGGGCTGATGGAAACAAGAGCAGCCAATAGGACACTTTCCCAGAATCTCTGCTCTCAGTGAATATTGCATGAAGTAATGGCATTTTAAAATGAGATTATCGGGGTGTCTGAGCCGCTCAGTTGGTTAACATCTGACTCTTGATTTTGGCTCAGGTCATGCTCTCAGGGTTCATGAGTTCAAGCCTCTGGTCCCTCTCCCTCTCTCTCTGCCCCTCCTCTGTGCTTTTGTGTGCATGCTCTCGCTCTCAAAATAAATAAATAAACTTAAAAAAATAAAATGAGATTGAGGCACCTGGGTGGCTCAGTTGGTTAAGTGGCCGACTTTGGCTCAGGTCACGATCTCACGGTCCGTGAGTTCCAGCCCCATGTTGGGTTCCTTGCTGACAGCTCAGAGCCTGGAGCCTGCTTCGGATTCTATGTCTCCCTCTCTCTCTGCACCTCCCCTGCTTGTACTCTGTCTCTCTCACTCTCTCAGAAATAAACACTAAAAAAAAAAAAAAAAAAAAAAAAAA